TAATCAAACATAATGCTTTAATTATTAGATACAACTGATACATACAGTTACATTATTAGATAAATATTATAAAAAGTCAATTAAAAACATGTTAATTGAAAAAAATTAGGTATTGTATATAAGTACACCTAGTGAATTTTATCATCTTAATCGATATTTATTAAACGCTTTTTGCCTTACACGTTTTATTAGATTATTAGAATTTAGATAAAGTGTTGCCACGTTGGAAAAAATGATGTTTTGATTGGACTCGTGCATTAAGCGTAGATATTGTCTAATTTTTTTTTAATGAATTTCGTTAAGGTCAACTTTTAGTATTTTTCTGTAAGTTAGCTTATTGCATTTTTTTAATATACTGTACTTTATTGTAGATATACATATTTTATCAATCAATCTTAATAAAATTATCTAAATGTGACTTCACGGTTGGTGGGGTGGCTGGGCAACTGGCTGCCGCGCAACCGTGAAGTCACATTTAGATCCACATAGAGGTCCACAGATTGTTGTTCCGGGTCTGGGTGTCATGTCTATGCCAACTTGTATGTTTGTAAACGCATCCACGACATATGAGAAAATCCTAGAGTGGGACAACGCTTTGTTTAAAAAAAAGAAATACATGGCTTCCCAAGAAACCCCCGCATGTTAAATGCTAACATTCATTACATAACTACATTACAAACAATAAGTATTATAATTATACAATAAATGTTTTAAAATACCTTACGTACTATGATAAGAAGTAATAAACACTGGATATTTAATTATACTTAAGTAATTAATAATTCACAATTAATAAAACAAAAACAAAATTGCGATCTTGCAAAATCAAATAAAAAATATTCTTAGGTCTAATCGGCTAAGTAAAGCCAAGGCTCCCTATGATGTACTGAGTCTATGACAATATTGATAAATAAATTATTAGTAGCTAGATTTTCTATAATGCTTTTATTTGTTAAAAAACCAATCGATGAAAGTAGTAGCTGTAGCTAGCAAGCTTTGTATGTTCTGATAGTAGCTATCTGAGAAATCAATTCGAAGCTACGTTTATCATAGGTTTAGTTTGAGTATTAGATATAATTACACCGGATTATTAGGATTACCTAATGCTCATTCTATTCAATTATAAATCATTTGTATTTAATATTGTTTATAACATATAAGCGCCTGAACATTTAATTATATTTATTGTAAGGACGTGATTTCACGTGATTTATTTGTAAAATGTTGCTCCTACTAATTACAATTTATTGAGATGAGAAGTATTGTTTTGTGGTGTTCTCTTTTTAAAGAAGCTTTATTTAATGACATTAGTTTCCAATTAATGGTGGTAGGCGATCAGTACTGAACTTATTTACTACATCGTTATCTGTACTTGTATTTAAGAATAGGCTTGATTAAATATGGTTTTGAGTAACTTAGAGAAATGTTGATGAAACAGTGAACGCATGAATACAACTGAGTGTTGTATTACTCTTTATTCTATGATCGTAAAAAGATACTGATTAAGATAATAATAATGTTTGGGTTTTCAACATTATAATTATCAGTACGGATTATGGATTTCTGTTTCACGACATGTCGTCTTTCTATTACAATTTATCATTAGTGATTAAAACATACTTAGCATGGGTTTTGGTTTACACGTTTCATTGAGAGCAAAGATTCTGATCGATCGTTATTCTGTTTTCAAAGGTTATTATAGCGTGAATGAAATACACTCAACGTAACTATCTCCTATTAATCAATACATCTTTTTTTTTTCCTATCCTTATATTCCATGTTGTCAATACTAATAATTTTGTTTTATACCTAACGGGTTACCGGGGCTCCGGCTCGACGTGCAGGAGAAGGAATGGCGTGGTTTTTAGTCGGTAAGAGTCTGATACTCCCTCCCGCCTCACCCAGGCGGGAGTAGTCATTAGATGATTTTCCCCCCTTAAAATACATAATATATTTAGTTAGACTCTTACCTAATATATTTAGTTGGTGAAAAGTGGCTGTTTAGACTTTTAATACCGTGCAACCTTTGGAGATTAAAAGGTACTAAATACTTACCAGGTACGCAAAAATAATGCATTTCAAAATCAATTTATTACATTTTTGTATCGCTACTGACAATCGCGACGTTGCTATATACTACGTGCTACGACGCGCGTAGCACTCGTAGCTTCATTTCTATATCTTAAGTTTAGAGTTTATTTTCGTATTATATATAATTAATTAAAAAGATTTTTTATGGAATAAACTGACAAACGACCATACGGATTACTCGATGGTATAGCAATCGGCGACGCCCGAAATACCAACCGTGTTACAAATGCGTTACCGGCCTTTTAATTTTGTCGCGGAGAACCTAACGGGTAACCGGGGCTCCGACTCGACGTGCAGGAGAAGGAACGGGGTGGTTTTTAGTCAGTAAGAGTCTGACAATCCCTCCCGCCTCACCCAGGCGGGAGCAGTCATTCGATGATTTTCCCCCCTTAAAAAAA